ACAATAAGAAAGTTTTTGTGGGACTGGAGAGGTAGCTCAATTAGGGTTAAGAGCATTTGCCATTCTTCCAGAGGACGTGGGTTTAATTTCTAGCACCCACATGGCATTTGTCACCCTCTTCTGGTCTTCTCAGGCACTACCCACATACAAGTATACATCCGGGCAATCAAAACACTTGTACAAATAAAAATAAATCATTTTTTTAAAAAAGAGTTCTCGTGGGGCTGGAAAGATGGCTCAGTAGTTAAGAGCACTTGCTATCCATCCAGAAGACCCAGGTTTGGTTCAGCACCCATGCTGGGTGGCACATAGGAGATCTGACAGCCTCTTCTGGCCTCTGCAGGCACTGTATGCATGTGGTGCACTTACATATATGTGGGCAAAATACTCAGACACATAAAATAAACATAAATAAAATATTTTTAAAAGAATGTATTTGATTTGAAGTTTTTTTCCTTTGGTTTAACTTGGTATTTAAATTTTTATTTTAAAATTTCAAATTTCATTTGTTCATTTATTCTGTGAGGGGAGTGTGTGTACCAAAGCATGTGTAGAAGGAAGGGCAACTTGTGAGAATCGGTTCAGTTCTCTCTTTCTATTGTGTGTGGGACCTGGAACTCGATCTCAGGTCATCAGCTTTGACAACAAACACCTCTACCTGCTGAGCCATCTCATTGGCCCTAAATTTTATTTTTTTAAATGATATTAGAAAGAAATTTAGTGTGTAATAGGCAAAAACATAGATGTTCTTAGAAGAATAAATAAAAATAATTTAAGGCAGCATGTTCTAACTACTAATCAAAAAAGTTTAACTGACTTTCCTATTATTTGCTTATCAGGTTTGCAAAGATTTTAAAAAATCAATGATAAATAATTCATATTAGTGAGGATGTGAGGCAATCAACATTCACATGTAGTTTTAGAGGCAGTATGCATTGATATGGTGCTGGGAGAGTCATTTGCCAGCATCCTCCAGTGTTTACGCATGTGTGTTCTTCAATGTGGCAGTGACTCTGCAAGACATCTGTTGTTCAGAATGTTGGCAGGACAAAGAAGGACATTCACAGTAGCACTGTGTGTGCTAGAAAAACCAGGAGTCACTTCAAAGTCCACCCATAGGGCAGGGCCGACATACACTGATGTCTTAAGTGCAGCCTAGGAGTAGAGAGCTCAGGAGTGGGGTATTGGCCTAGTGTATGCGAGGCCCTGGATCCAAGCTCCAAAATCACAAGGAAGAAAACACAGACTTGAAAGCTTGGAGGGCAGTCTCCCCTTAGTATGGAAGGCTGTCTATGATATGGTCTATGGCTTAAAACAACACATTGCAGTATGCAAAGTGTACCTATATACCTGCTAATACGTGTTCATTCAGACATCAACCCAGCTAGTAAATGAAAGTCAGAAGAACCCTGCTACTCCTCTGCACAAAGCCCCCCTCGGGCTTCTTTTACTCAGATTCAGTGTCAGAATTCTCATTGATTTCTGACCTGGATGGACCTGGGCTACAGGTCTGAGGGCTTTTTTTCCAAAACCTATACAGTTTTCAGTTGTATTGTTTTCCTTTTTATCCCCTTTGCCAAGAGCTCTCTTCCCCCAGCTTACCTTCTCTTTCCTGTGTGACTGCATCAACGCTTTGCAATGAGGCTTCCCTGACCAAGTCTACACTGCAGGGAACACACTTCCTCCTTGCTCCTCACCTTACCTGGGGACTTTCTATTCCAGTTCCCAGCTGACCTGTCAGCATTCGATACATGTCATGTGTCCTTGGTTATGGGTTAGCTGGCTGTTTCCTTCTTCTAGGATTATAAACATCATGAGGGATGAGATGTTTTTTGCTAGTCTTCTTCATTGCTGGGTTCCCAGCACCTACAATGGTACCTGGTACACAGTAGGGGCTTAATCAATGTTTATTGACAAATAAATAAAATTTTGTTTTTATATATGCACAAAACAAATATAAAAACAGCACATGTTAACAGTGATTTGTCCTGGAATGTGAGATTGGGGAGCCTGGGGAGAATGTCCATCTTTCTACATTTCTGTACCATTTGATTCATGTACAACATTTCTAATGAAAAAGATAATCATTGTGGTCCCCTTCTCCCTCCAGGTCATTCTCTCTTAGGGCTATCCCATGGTTTAATGTGTCCTAAGGGGCTATCCTATGGTTTAGTGTGTCCAGAAAGGAATGTGTGTTGACACTTATTCCCTATTAAGGGTTAAGAAGGTAGAAAATTGAACCAAAGTGTTTAGAGGTGGAACTTTGGGGAGAAGAGGTTAGAATTAGATAAATTCATCAGAGAGGAGCCTGTGTGGCTAAGAACTGAAGGCTTTCTAAGAACAAGGAAAATAGAGTTCGTAGAAGGATCACAAGTAGCCTGGACCACATAATGAGACACCCATCTCAAAGAACACAAGAAGAAAGAGGAAGGGAGACCAGAAGACACACATATGAGTGCCTCATCTCCTGCCAGGTCCTGGAACCTCCTCGAGACCAACAGCCAGAAGACCATCATGAACTGCGGTTCTTTAGCAAACATCTCCAGAACCACAAGCCAAAACAGGCCTCCAGTATCTCAATCCTAAGCTTGTCTCCATCATATGTGACATTTAGACTTCAGAAGTACCAATAAACTTGGTCTGTAGAAGTTCTACAACTCTCAAATAGACCAGAAATAGTAGACATGTGCATTCATAGACACACACACACACACACACGCATGCGCATGCTGAACAACAACAAAAAAAACCTTTCTTTTTTATTTTTAAAGCTGTAATGAAATGATTCTTCTAAACTATATATATATATATATAATCTAAGTTATAAAGGCAAACTTGTTCTGAATTTTTAAAATTAAACTTATCATGTGTGTCTATGTGTATGGTACATACATACTATAGTGCATGTGTAGACATCAGAAGACAACTTGTGAGAGTTAGTTCTCTCTTTTTACCATGTGGGTTCTCAGGGATCAAATTCATGTCATCAAGCTTGGCTGCAAGTGCCTTTATCTGCTGAGCCATCTCCATGGTCGCCAAAGCCTTCCCAATTAGCACACCTGACCCTTCTTTGTACGCACTTCCTTCAGCAGAAAGAAGGAAAGTCAGAGGCAATTCCCATGCAGTCTTCTCCTGGGACCTAACTTGGTCCCAGGCTGGGAACAAGATTCATCTAGTGTAGTGCTAGTAGTGCTGGTAACATGCTTCCTAAGAGAGTCCACTGGACCTGACACTAGCTTTTCCTGAATTCTTGACTAGCTACAAAGTCTCTCTGATGAACAAGGCCTCACCCCAACAGGACAAGAATGGAAGACACTGCAATCAGCTCTGAGAGACCAGAAAGAGAACCTATCTGTTTACCTGCCTGTCCTGAGAGTTCCTCCACCTCACCCTGGAAAGCAGGGTGGCAGCAGCTCTCACCACTAATTCGCTATGGAGACTGGAACTCTTAGAGTTCTAAATGAAAAGACAGCCAGCTGGGATGGGTTTGTTTTCCCCCTTCTGTCTTTTTAAGAGACTCATCTGGAATAAAAGTCAAAACTGTCTGGGAATGGGCCCCTTGTGGTCAGTTACAGTTGATGTTCTCTAAGCTTTGGCACAGTAACAGATTGGAGCTATAGCTCTCTTGTTGACAGTTCTCCAGAATGAAGCTGGGCTTCTGTGGAAACATTGACTTACTACACTTTCCTAAGCTAGGGCCTGGGAGTCTATGACACTTCAGAAAGGACATTTGTTCCCTCTGGAGGGATCTAGTTATTAAATGGTGCCTTATATTGGAATAGAGAACAGGCTTTGGAATTAGACTACAAATTCAATTGTTATAGAAAATTATTAGTATTATTATTTGTGGGGGGATATGTGCACAGGATGTGTGTGTGTGTGTGTGTGTGTGTGTGTGTGTGTGTGTGTGCATGTGGAAGTCAGAGGACAACCTCGAATGTTGTTCCTCAGGTACCTTCCACCTTTTGTCTTTTTTTAGATAGGGTCTCTCACTATGACCTGGGGCTCTCCAATTAAGCTAGGCTGACTGGCCATCAAACCCTAGGGTCCTCCTATGTCTGTCTCCCCAGTACTAGAATTACAAACGTGCACCACCATGCCTAGCTTTATATGTGAGTGCCAGGGATCAAATTTAGATGCGCATACTTGCACGGCAAGTACTTTACCCACTGAGCTATCTCCCCAGCTTCCATCAATGAATCTTAAGAGCACGTAGGCCTCTCAATTCATTCTGTGTCACTTTCAAATGGAAATGAAGGCCTCTACCTGGTAAGGTTATCTCCAGGGTCAAATAAGATAACGCAGAGACAGACCCTCAATGCTAACAGTTAAGAACCAAATAAATCCCAATTATCCCAAATAAGTGAGACCCCAGTTTTTCCTATCTAAGACTTTCAGGCACCTCTCTCATAATTGCCCATAACAAATATCACATCTGACCATCCTGGAACCTCTTGTCCTGGAGCCTCTTGCTAGATTTATCAGAATTGATAGTCACACACACACACACACACACACACACACACACACACACACCATCAGCATACCATGGAACTGACGCTGCTAGGAGCCTTGACCGTAAAGCCCAGGAGTCCTCCAAGGGACCTGCATGGCCTCTAGTTTTGCCTCTGCAGAAAACTATGGGCAGAGGTTCATTCATCACCACCAGCTATACAGAAGGCTTGGGGTGCTCTGAAGGTCTCTCAGCCCCTAATATCACAGCATCTCCATCCCGGCCTTTGCTTTTCTGTCCTTCAGGTCCACAAACACTAACCACTACAAGCCAGGCAATGTGCCAGGTATACTAGGAAAAACAGGTGAGCCACACCTCAGCTTCTTGTGAGCTCTGGGTCTGGTGATGCATGGCAGTCAGCAGATGAGAAAAGGCATCCAGAATATTCTCTGGAATGAGCCCTAAGAAAGAAGGATGGCCAGGCCTGACATTGGCTCCCTTAGTGCCTATAGCTAGAGGCAGATCTGTCAGTCAGAGTAAGACTCACCACACTGGTTTTCAACGTGGCCCTGACCCACTCCACAGGACTCTGCCCGCTGTTCAGATGCTCTGGGGGACTTTTTAGCCACATCAAGGTCCATGCCTGAGAGCTGCAGGTGGAACTGCTCCTTGTGGGCGGCCTTCCTGAGTGAGCGAATGGCCTTCCGCAGCCGCTTCTCTGTCCGCTTTACCATGCAGCTCAGATTGCAGGAAGCTGCAGGAAGAAGAGGGATAGACAGCAGCATGGGGGGGAGGTCAGGCTGTGTTGCTGCAGGAGGAGGTCCAGGCTAGACCCACCAACACATCAAGTTCCCTGAAGGTGGGCACCTAGCAGGCTGGGCAGAGTTCAATTCAAAGACAAATTTATGGACTTGAATGGTAGCTTTGGGTTTTTATGAAGCAGAGAAAACAAATCATCTGGTTCTTAACCAATTTATTGTATTGTGGAGATGAAAATCAAACAGGAGATACTTCAGTGTTTGCACTAGTTTCCACCCACAGGAGTGTCGGAAAGTGAAGGAGAGGGACAGAAAGAAGTAGCGAGCTGCAGCAGCCTGGCACCGCAGATGGCTTTCAGACCAACCTGTCACCTCCTTTTGGTAAGTTTCCCGCTCAAACTCAACAGTGAGAAACATTTCCTTAGGGGCGCTCGGTCGGCTGGGGGCTCCTGGGGCTTGCTTGCCAGAGCTGCATGTAAGGTTTGCATAGCGGAAGCTCTCTCTTACTGAGCTGTGCTTCTCTGTGTGAAGAAACACAATGATCGGAAGCCAAATCCTGGCAGAGCACTGAGCAGAGCATTCGAGAGAGCTCAGTAAACATTTCATGACAACCTTCCATGGACGGCATGACTCACTCCACATGCTGTTGCAAACCCCTAGCCTGGAGCCCGAAGACAATTTCATTCTGAACAGCTAGCATTGCCTCCTATATAACTTTACAACCTAGCTCTTGAGAATTCTTTTCATGGATAGAGGTTGAGTGTCTCCCACTGACCAGCCACATGTGTGGATGGAGAGAACCAGGGGTTGTTTTGTATTTCCTGTGAGAGCTGGCTAAGGTGATGCATATTTGCACAGTGGTTCTTCTCAAAGCTGGGCCAGGATGGCTTGAGCAGATGCTGAGGCTAAACTAGGGAATAAGAGGGAACCAACTCCTGCTTTGGGGCAAACTGACACATAACTCCATCCCAAAGAGCTGGGGAGGACATCAGCAGTGATGTCTTTAAAATAGCCACAAACAATAAATGGCACAAAGTTTTGACAGAAACAAACAGTATCCTGAAAACAGAAGGAAGGTTTGCCATAAGACAGGACTTTGTATGTCCCTATTCTTGATTTTGGTAGCCTGTTGCCCATGGCTTTCAGTGAAATCTGTTGACTGTCAACAAACCAAACCAAACCTGAACCATATTAAAAAGTAGGACCACATAGCCACAAAATCAATTTGCATCTCTTTAGTTTGTTTTTTGGTCCCCCCCCCCTTTTTTTTTTTTGGTCTCTTTGAGACAGGGTCTCCCTGTAGCCCCAGCTGTCCTGGAACTCGCTATGTAGACCAGGCTGGCCTTGAGCTCACAGAGATCTGCCTGCCTCTGCCTCCCCAATGCTGGGATTAAAGACGTGCATCACCACGCCTGGCCCTTGGTTTTCCTTTTTGAGATGGGGTCTCTCTGTAGCCCTAGCTGGCCTGGAACTCACTATGTAAACTAGGCTAGCCTTGATCTCACAGAGATCTGCCTGCTTCTGCCTCCTGAATGCTGGGTTTAAAGTCAGGTGCCACCATACCCAGCCTTGCATCTATTTTTTAAGCTTACTTTATTAAACTAAAGGATTATATGTATCATAGTGTTAATATTATAAAGCAACATATCATCAGGGGCCAGAGGAAAGAGACAAATTCATTTCCTATCTATATTTTCTCCCCAAACATCTATTTTACAACTTTAAAAAGCTAACTGCAAATCTTTATTTTAATTATGTTTATGAGTTTGTGCACATGTGAGTGCAGCCCCTTCACCTGCCCCCCAAGGCCAGAAGAGGGTGTCAGATGCCCTGGAGCTGAAGTTACAGGAAGTTATGATCTGCTTGACATGGGTACTGGGAACCAAACTGAGGTCCTCTGCAGGAGCCACGAGTGCTGAGCCATCTCTCCAGGCCCCTAACTTCAAATCTTAAACACATGTTTGTTTTGAACATTTTTTTCAACTTTCTCATATATCTTTTTAAAAAATATTTTTATTTATTATTTATTATTTGTATTTTATGTGTATGAGTTTATGCCTGCATGTAGGTAAGTGCATATGTGTCGTGCAATGCCCACGGAGGACAGAAGAGGCTATTGGATCCCCTGAAACTAGAGTTATGGGCAGTTGTTAGCTGCCATGTGGGTGCTGGGATTCGAATCTGGGTCTTCTGCAAGAACAGTCAGTGCTCTTAACCACTGAGCCATCTCTTCAGCCCCATCATATATCTTTTAAAACTATTTTTACATTGTTTATTTACTTTGTGTGCATGTTTATGCATGTGTGTATGAATGTGCCTCAGCATGAGTATGGAGGTCAGAAGACAACGTGCAGTCGGTTCTGTCCTTTCACTATATTCACTATATGGCCCTCAGGTCATCAGACTTAGCAGCAGGTGCCTTTCACCCACTGAACCATCTCATTGGCCCTAAAACTATTGTTATCTATTTATTTATTTTGTTTTTACACAGGGTTTCACTCTGTATCCCAGGCTGGCCTGGAATTCACTATGTAAACAAGGCTAGCCTCAAATTCATAGCAATCCCCCTGCCTCAGCCTCCTAAGTGCAGGGATTACAGATATGAGCCACCATGTCCAGCTTAAAACTTTGTATTTTGAAGTAAGTTTAGATTTATAGAAAAGTTGCTAAAAAGTACATAGTTTCCATATCCCTTCTCCCAGTTTCCCCAATGTTATCTTACTTTAGCACTGGTCCATTCTATTAGGTAAACTCCAGACCAAATTTATTTTTAAGTAATACTTTCCTGGGCTAAAGAGATGGCTCAGTGGTTAAGAGCATGTACTGCTCTTGCAAAGAGCCTGATCTTGATTCCCAGCACCTATGTCGGGTGGCTCACAACAGCCTGCAACTCCAGCTCCAGGAGAATCTGACACATCTGCAGACACCTGCACTCATGTGCGCATACCCACATGCATGCATGCACTTAATTAATTTTATGTGTACGAGTGTTTTGGCTGCAAGTATGTGTACTGGGGAGACCAGAAGAGGGCACCAGAGCCACCATGTGGGTGCTGGGAACCGAACTTGAGTCCTCTGCAAGAGCAGTAAATGCTCTTAACTGCTGAGCCATCTCTCCAGCCTCCTAAAAATAAATATTAAACAAAAACAATGCATTCCTAATTTAAAAGTATAAAACTTGGGCCAGGCATGGCCAGCACTTGGGAGGCAGAGGCAGGCAGGCCTCTGTGAGTTCAAGGCCAGCCTGGTCTACATAGTGAGTTCCAAGACAGCTAGGGCTGCAAGGAGGCCCTGTCTCAAAAAACCAAAACCAAAAAAAAGAATAAAATTAGACTCAGCCCTTAACAGGACATCTGTACCACCTCTCTAAGGCTCAGGGAATGTCTCAGAAGAGGTGTGGAAAGAACATAAAAGCTGGGAAACAGGGAGAAGGGATGTGAAATGCTGTCTTCTGGGCATGGCACTGCAAATACAGCCATGATCTCACAGTAGCTGTGGCTCCCTGCAATGACCCTGCAGAAGACTGAGCTTGCCAACACTCAATCATGCCTCACAGAGGTGCCCATGAGGCTCTACTACTCCCTGTTGGACTACTAGATACTGATGGATTTGGGGGGGGGACCACACTCCTCAGTTGTGACACCCACTGATGAGCCCAACAGATCCCAGTGGTTAGCTGTAAACCCACGGTCACCCAGATCGCCTTGGTTAAACTCAGTGGGTCACAAAACAAGACAAAAAGATTCTATGTGAATACTCAAACACACGCACTTATGATTCTAAGCCTAGTTTTCCAACATTAATTTCCAATGATCCAAAACTTATTTACTTCTCTTTCCCCCTTAGAATTGATGATGTGATATGCTAGTTTCATTTTTCAAAACTATGTAACAATATTTTTATAGTTTTCAAACTGAGGGAAACACGAAGGGAGAATATTTTAATTATTCTTTTTCTTATCCTTAGTGGTATATTAAAAAAGCAAAATAAGGCATTATTAAAAATAATTTTTACTTTGCCTATACTAAATAAAATTTGAATTGTATGTTTTGTAATTGGGTTGTTTCATCCCATGACATTGATTTGGAACTCTTTGAGTTTAATCAATATGATTTGAAAATAAATTATCATTTAAAAATTTTTTAAAAAGATTCTATATGAGAAAGAGACGTGGAAGGAGAATAATAGAGGTGGGGGAGAAAAGAGAAGGCGAAGGGCACCAGTAACCAGAATGTACTATAAACATGTATGAAATGATCAAGGAACAAATTTAATAAAAGTCACAGGAAGCATAAAAATTGAGAATATGAAACACCCAGAAATATTTCTCCTCCCCAGACATAATGACTACTACTGATATCGTGAACTTTCTGCAGCTTCTTTCCTTCTATTTTGCTTTTTCAAACACAATTTTGATTATATTAGATATATAAAATATTACTGTCCTTGCTGGAGAGATGACTCAGGGGTTAAGAGCACTGGTTGCTCTTGCAAGGACCTGGGGTTGATTCCCAGCACCCACATGGTAGCTAACAACTGTTCATAACTCCAGTTCCAGGGGATCTGACAGCCTCTTCTGACCTCCATGGGCGTTGCAGGACACAGGTGCACTTACATACATGCAGGCAAAATACTCATAAACATAAAATAAAAATAATACATTAAAAGTATTACTATCCCTCCTTCTATCTCAGCATTATAACAAGATCACTTTGCTATGTCATTAACATTCTTTGAATACATATAGCTAATTGACATACATGGTCCTTCAATGGAGGCACCAAAATTCAGCTTGATTATTTATCAGTAGGCAAAGTGGTTAGAGTGAGCTTTAGGTTCATTTGTTTGACTGGTTTATTTGAGGGTAGACTGGGGGAGGAAACCTCCCAATATATGTCTCGATTTATTTTAAGCTCCATAAATATTCTCTGAAATTATAATGAAATGAGAGAAGAAAAAGGAACATTAGATTTGGTCAGTCCAGTTACTTTTGGATGGCATTTATTCACTAAAGCCAATGGACTGGCAGCTTCCAAAACCCAGACCAGCAAGGATGCTGGATAGTCTATCATTTTTAGCTAGGAACCAGCTCAGCCTTTTCCAGGCTGCACTTCCCTTCATTTGGCTTAAGGGCTACACTTATCCTGTCAGTGGCAACAACTTTAGAAAGAAATAAGAGAGAAATCACCTTCCTTCACAGACATCATTTCTGAGTCAACTTAGTTTTCCCATATCTTTGGCTTATATTTCAAGAAAACTCTAAGATCTAGAAAACTTAACCCAACACAATCACCAGTTGCCAATTCATCATAAGCTCCTGTTGGCTCATGTGAACTCAGTTTCTCCAGAGCTTCACCAACAATCTCACAAATGAAATCCTGAGGTATAACCCCTGCACTACACAGAGGGTTAAGTCGGGCTCTGCTCCCCTGCAAAGTTCCTGGAATTTCAGAATGGTTCAGTCTCATCTGACATGTGCTTGCATCAACTGGAGAGTCATCTGTCCAACCCCTTGGACCTTCAGCTCTGTTGGTCACGGCCCATTCCCAACACGCAGGCAAGCGCTCTACACCAGCCGTCTGATTCCATACCTGGTAGTGCTGGTCGCAGACCCTCAGGAAACAGCTCAGCCTTTTTCAAACTACACTTTCCTTCATTTAGCTTAAAGGTTACACTTGTCCTGACGGTGGTGACATCTTCAGAAAGAAATAAGTGAGAGAAATTACCTTCACAGGCAAAGGAAGGAAGGCAAGCATCTCCTGGCTGGATCCTGCCACATGTGCATCCTGAGCGCCTCTCTCACTTGAGAAAGGTTTGGACCATGAAATGCCCATCATGCTTTACGGGTTCACCTAGAGCCTCCTCAGAGTTATACTTATCTCCCCATGAGAGAGATGAATCCAATGTTCGTGTAACAGACAGAGGGCCCCAAACAGTTTCCACAGTTAGATGAAAGATGAGGTCATTTTCGTGCCCTCCTGAGAAGGAAGGCGAGTACCCTTGGGCTCAAATCTGGGTAAGACTGTTGAGGGAGATGGGGAAAGGAAGTCTTTTATATGTTGCCTCTCTGAGAAGACAGGGCTAATGGAGCTGTCAGTCCAGATGTGGTTACCACTTCTGGGATCTGGGAGGGAGTGGGGGCCCTATGTGGAGGGGCCAGTGTGCAGAATTCTGTTCTCCGTCCCAAAATCAGTCTTAACTATATGGTGGGCTGGAGCCTATGACTCCAATTGAAAGCCCTTTGGCTTCTAGTGAGAACTTCAACAAGTTCTTTAATCTCCCCATCCCAGTTTCCCCATCTGTAAAATACATACAATTAGCATCTATAGGACCAGGAAATTGTAAGGACCAAAGAGATGATGGACCAAAGCCAGCTGTCTGACACATAGTAAGAACCATGTGCTTGCCTGTGCTTAAGTACCCCAGATCACCAAAGAATTATCACTGAGGGATTTGGTGAAACAGGCCATGTTGTCTCCTCTGGCTTGGTCCTGACCTCCATCAGAAAGGACAGTAAAGAATAGTACTTAAGACTCTGGACTTGAATGCCTGGGTCCAAATCCTGCCTCCTCTGTTTCTTGTCTTACACTTTGAGTAAGCTGTTTCACCTCTCTGAGCCTTGGTTTCTTTGTCTGGTTAATGAGGATAATAATAAAGTTGATGCAGAGAGTTTAGTGGATTAAATCATCCCATGGATGATATATGGTGGCTGGCAGATTTTAACTTCTCAGTTACCATTGTGCTTGGGGTCTCTGGCTTTGCACATAAATGTAATGTGGACATCAAGATGTAATGTAGGACTCATTTAGACATTCTCATGACAAAATGGAAAATGTGTCTACACCTGGGAAGACAAGGCCTCTAGAAAATGCTGAATTTTTATTCTTAGTCCTCTGACAAATTGGAATGAGTTTAGGTCTCTTTCCCAAGACAGAGTCCCCAGCCTCCCCTGGCCTGCCCAGGCCATCTCCATCAATGTCTTCCATCCCAGGCATGGTTCCTATGGGACCTTTGAGGTGCTCTGGGATAGAGGGAATTCGGGAGCCCTGAGCCTCCTAGTTCCAGAGTTCTGTGGGCCTCTGTCAATACGATGACCCACCCAGTCTGAATGGGACCTCCAAGCACTCAGGGGACACTCAGAATCTGTTCCACGGGTGAGTCAGATTTTAAGCACCATGATTGCAGACAAGAACACCCTGACACGTGCTCATAGCACCCAAAGCCACAGCCCAGGAACAGCACCCCATGAAAGAAATGCATTGAACATAACAGAACAGGATTTGGTAATTACCCCTAAAAGCAGAATCATTGGATTTTTGCTGTCTGCTCCTGAGAGAGGACGAGCCACAGGTGACAGAGTAGGCCTCTTGCAATCCTGACAGACAGAATGTGAAATTGTCAAAATGTGTAAGCAATGGGACAGCAGCTAATGGGGTGGAGTCCCACCCCACTCCACATGGGCCAATAGAAAAACACTCAGGATATGGGTTCTTAAACCACGGGCTTCTGATGGCCAAGAAGTTATCTAGCCCAGAACCTGAGAGTGTCTAACACCTACTGGCCCTGCCATGAGAATGTGCCCGGGATTTATACTACTCACCTGAAGAGAGGTGAATGCCAGAGTGACATCTCAGAACGCACCTGTCTCCTCCGCCACTCTTACCACAGTGCAGGGACACGTAGGGTGACACACTAGTGGGCAGGAACCCCTTCACTTCTAGACAGGACAAAACACACAGACACTTATGAAAAAAGAAGGGCATTTTCAAGTAAGAGGAGCGTCCAGTACACCAAAGGCCCCCAAGCAAAGAAGGCAGAGTTACCCCCTCCCTCCTGGCCCCCGACACACTGAACAGAAGACACCAGGCCTTGCTTCCCACTGAGGTCAAGAAGGCCCTTGTCTGCTGCTTTTTCATGCAGAGAAGCAACCAGGAAAACAGAAGCTCCAGTCTATGCAGAAGCGCAGAATGAAACACCAAAGAACCTGCAAAGTATCTCCTGTTTTTGGATTCCTTAAAGACTGGGATGCTGTTGCTAAGAGTGGAAAAATGCCCATTGGGGAAGGTCAGGTGCACTTCCAGCCCAGTGGGACATGGGAGCACACAGACTCTCATGCCTGGGGGCTTGGGAGTGAGCCCCATGGCTGAGTGGGAACTGTGGTGGGATGGAGCCTCTTACCCACACAATCCTTTTTATTCCAGTGGAGTTTGTATCCTGGATGGCACTGGCATTCATAGCCACCCACTGTGTTCACACAGACCTGCTGACAGCCTCCGTTGTTGATGCTGCACTCATTGGTGTCTGTGGGACAAAACACTTCCCTGTCACAACTGTGCACCTCTCCCTCGAGGAAGCACAGTGGGGGAGTCACGCAGTTAATAGAAGACTTGGTGTCTTATGACTGCACATGGTACTCCCTGCCGGCATGAGCCTTGGTTGGGAGATTTCCATCACTGTGCATCAGGAACACTCAAAAGGACCCACACTGCTTTCAGATGTACAGATTCAGACCCTTCATAGGCTTTAATTTAAAACGCCACCATCTGGGTCTGGAGAAAAGTCTCAATGGTTAGGAGCACTGGCTGATCATGCAGAGAACCCTGTTAGGTTCCCAGCACCCACATGGCAGCTCACAACTGTCTGTAACTCCATTTCCAGGGACTCTGATGCCCTCTTCTGACCTCCTCAGGCACCAGGTATGCATGTGGTACACATATATACATGTAGGCAAATGCACACATAAAATAAATAATTTTTTCTTAATTTCACCATTCTCTAAGCTATTGACCAAGGTAGACAGAATTAAGACTTCTTTCTTGACTGTTTGTATAGTTGAGGGGCAGAGAAGAAAAGCTGTATGCACCCATTCCTATCAATATGAGACTGAGCCCAGGCCAGAAGGTAGCCCCAGGCCAGAAGGTGGCTCCTAACCAGGTTCACCACTGTGTTCAGAGGATATTTCACTGGGGCTTCCTAGTAGACTGGGAAGGGTGAGGAGTATATTTTTAGCTATGCCAAGGATGTGCTAAGAGGGAGAAGGGAGACATCACCATTTATAGCAGAGCACCATTATCCACACTCCTCAAGCACAAGACATGAGACTTGGCAGGAACTATACTAGCCTGTGGATCTAACGGATCCTAGATTCACCTTGGAGATCCTACACGTGTTGGACTAGAATCTGGCTCTATGCTCAACGACTGCTGATGGTCAGGGGAGTGGATTACAATACAAGTCAGCTGGAACCAAATCTGGTTTATACCAACCACAGCCTGCTTGCCCATAGGGTGATGACACACAAGGACATGCTAAATGGGCACAGGATGGAAAGACAGACTCAGTGTCCTACTTCCAGCTCCAAGATCTGTGGGGCTCAAAACAAGGCTTTGCTCAGCAGAGCTGTGGGTTTCCTGGGTGCCCTACCAACCCTTTTCTGTGAAGATCTATAGGACATCATCTTAGCTCCCTAGAGGCTCTCCATCCTCCAAATACAAACACAAGTCAATGAAAAATCCACAGCTGGCAGGGAAATCAGCAACTTTAGATAGATGGATAGATGTGAATGTACCCTTCACCCCAATATAGAAAAATAAACCTGAGGAGTGACTCTGCTCCCAGGCCCAGCTTCACCCTCAAGGGGCAATCCACTCACCTCCACAGTGGGTGAAGCCATAGAGGGTATACCCTCTGTTGCAGGCACAAGCAAACGTGCCAGGGTGGTTGATGCAGCTGTGATCACAAGTCCTTTCCAAAGAGCACTCATCTACATCTGGAATTGTCAAAGGGAGAGGAAGCTAGAGGTAACTCTGCTGTGTGAGTGGAGATGCTTATAGTAAACACCAGTTGATGACCAACAGCAAAACAACACACATGGGGGAAATGATCAATCTATTCTCTTCACTTGTTTGTGTCAAAGAACGTGTGTAGGAGCCCACCATTAACATAGTCACCCCCAGTTCCTTAGTTCAAATTCTGTTGCAAACTATATGGGCCTTGAAGTTTATGTAGTCTCTTACTTATAATACAGGGTTAAGTCATTTACATTATATAAATGAAGCCAAATGAGACACCTAAAAATGGTTCTGTAACCTATATTATAAACGATGCTAGTCATGCATTATTATTGCTATATTGTTGTTGGTAAAATAGCAGCTGTAATTTTATAAGCCCTGGTGAAATGAAAGGAAAAAACACTTTGGTTGGAGGCAAATCTGATTTCTATCTCTCTCATCTTTCCAGAATTACTCTTCTGGCCCCAACAGGCCAGTTCATCCTGTTGTAACACCCTCTGCATTAAAAGAATGCAGTAACACTAATAATCTCAGTATTTTTCTATGGAAATTGGGTTGGTGAAGCAACTGGGGCCAGGTAAACCATCAGTCCATCTGATCATTTTTTTCCTCCATGTCTTACCCCCTCAACTCATGGGGAGGTTCTATCACTCAAACTTTTCTGCCTCCAAATATACAAACCAGGACCAACCACACTGGACCTCTTTTTCCACACTGAACATGCTATGAAAAGCTGCATTCATAAAAGGCAAACATGTTAGCCAGGTGTGGTGGTACATGCCTGTAATTCCAGCACTCAGGAGGCAGAAGCAGGAGGATTGCGCCCTGAGTTCAAGGTTAGCCTAGTTTAAGCAATACCTAAGCCAGCCAGGACCTGTCTCAAAAGAGCAGCAGTAAAAAGCGATAAAAACCACCTTGAGGTAGATCAGGAAAGATGAAAAAGCAAAATAAAATGGCAAAGCCTCTTCTTTCCTTGGCTGTTCCCAGAGACCCTGACACTTTCTTCAACAAATTTGTTCTGTACAAATATTTGTTCTACCAAGAATGATTGGTAAAAAATGAGAAAAATTCAGTTTCTTTGCTTGTAATCGATGCCATTCAATGAAATCTGTTGTTAATATCAGCCAGTTCCTGAGAAAGTGCCCATGTTCAGTAGCTGACTTTGGCTGCTCATGTGGACTTTTGCTTTGCCAAAAATAATGAGATCACTTTCCTAATTCCTTTTTAATGTGTTTACACAGCTTCTTGCCCTATACATTATGAAACATTGTGTAGAATAGCAAATTTACTTTCCAAATCAAACTGAAGAAAACCATGAAATAATTATCTAGAATTAACTCACTGGATTTAAAGGGGAATGTATTTGAACTGCCTGGTAAAGTATGTATTATGAACAAAGAGGGAAGAAAAGCTTAATTCACTCTATAGGTTTTTTTTTTTTAATATAATGTTACATCTTTGGGTGTGTGTGTGTGTACGCATGTGTGTGGGGGGGTGTGTGCGCATGTGAGGATCAGCACCAGTTATCTTCCTCAGCTGTTCCTCACCTTAATTTTTTGAGACAGAATTTCTCACTGAACTTGGAGCTCACCAATTTGGCTAGACTGGCTGGCCAGCAAGACCCCAGGATCCTTCTGTCTCTGCCTTCCAGTACTAGAATTATAGGCACACACCACCATGCTCAGCTTTTTACGTGGGTACTGGAGATCCAAACTCAGGTCCCCATGCTTGCAAGGCAAACTCTATCCACTGAGCCATATCCCAGCCTTTATGTTATATCTTTATTATGAAAAGTGGAATCAGATTTTATATTCTGATTTTGATTCAATGGTGAGATTCTTTTTTAAAACAGGGTCACTAGCCAGGGTGGTCTTGAACTTAGTATATAGCTAAGGGTGGTCTTGAGGTACTGATCCTCCTGCTTCCACTTCCTGAGTCCTGGGATTACAAGTATGTGCCACTATACATCGTTCATGTGGTGCTGGGATTGAATCCAGGGCTTCATGCATGCTACCAACCGAGTAAGCCCCCAATGCAGAGATAGCTAACAAAGTAAGTAAGGCAGTCCTTATTCCCAGAAACAGAGGGAGATGTATGACAGCACGTCTTTCCTGAGACTTCTTCCTATATATTGATAGGACATAAAGGCTGCTTATCTAAAAACAGAAATAACAGGATGCCCTAAAACAGCTTCCCATCCAGTTCCCCCAAACAACCGTTAATATGGAGAACAAGTGCTGCTCTCTTTATGCAGGAAGGATGTGTTTGAAAATGGATCTGTAGGGGCTGAAGAGGTGGCTCAGCGATTAGGGGTGTGTAATGCTCTTACAGAGGACTGTTCCCAGAACCCCTGTCAGGGAGGTCACAAATGCCTGTAGCCCCAACTTCAGGGGATGCCCCTGGCCTCCTTAGGCACCTGCACTCATGTGCAAATACCCACACATAGACACACATGCATACACATAATTGAAAGTAATATAACAACTTTATCCAAAAGAAAAGGGGTCTGCATCTTCCTATGGACCAGCCAGCATCTCTTCCCCTTACTCCTCTCCCTCCCTGTTCATCCTCCTCTCTTAAAGTACCAAAGGCTGGTCATTCAAAACAAGCGCTATAGAAAGAGACCGAATGGTTCATGGTCTAGATTATGGATGACCTCAACTTTGTTAAAAATTCATTTTTTATGTGTATGAGTGTTTTGCCTGCATGTGTATAAGTGTACCACATGCATGCAATGCCCACAGAGGCCAGAAGAGGTTGTCAGATCCCCTGGAACTGGAGTTACAGATGACTGTGATTCACCATATGGGTGCTGGGAACTGAACCCCATGTCTTTTACAAGAGCAGCCAGTGCTCTTAACTGCTGAGCCATTTCTCCAGTCCCGACCTCAACTTTTTTCTAGGAATGTGTATTATCCAAATCTATAGATTTTTTTGCCACCTACTTTTACCAAACATTCAATAACAGTAAAATAAATATCTTAAAAAGGAAAATTATCCCAAATCTCAATTTCCAAGCATAATCCTGCCTGTATCATGTGTCCCATTCCCTTTTAGTGGTGAGCTCTGCTGTAATCACAGCGGATGGGTTCAGCTAATTGGTTTCCTTTCCAAAACATACCTGTGAGCGACTCAGTGTTTTCATTCAATCTCAGAATAAATAAGTGAAGCCCAGGCTGGAGTTTGGATCCATGATTCCATCAGGAGCCAGGTGAGCCAGTTCTCTACAAAGCCAGGGCTCACTCACATCTTTGCTGTCTCAACCAGGGTGTCCCTATACCTCACAGCTACCTGTCAGCACATACCTTGGCAAGACTTCTCATCTGTTAACAATTTAAATCCTTTTTTGCAGCTGCAGTCAAAACTGCCCACAGTATTTTTGCAGAAATGATCACAACCTCCATTTCGGGTCTGGCACTCGTCAACATCTGTAACAGGCAAACACCAACACTAGCAAACCAGAGTGCAATGCTGGCCTGGCTTCCCCTAAATCCCAGAACTGCTATTGTGTGTGTACCCCTTATCCTCTGAAATAAAAACATGACTGTAAAAGCATGTAAGAATGATCACTGATTTTTTTTAACTTTATTTTTTATTTGAGTGTTATGCCTGCATGTATATAAGTGCACCCATGTTGTGCAACACCCACCGAGGTCAGAAGAAGGCATTGGATCCCCTGGAACTGGAGTTACAGACGGTTATTAGCCACCATGTGGGTGCTGGGATTCTAGGGTCTCCTGCAACATCAGCCAACACGCTTAACTGCTGAGCTATCTGTCCAGCCCCAGTTCACTAATGGTTTTAATCTTACAAGTGTCTTTTGTCTTACTGAAAGACAAGTGCCTCATCCAGTTAAGAATTCTGACTTCCGATGCCCTTGACAAGCATCAAGGGAACAAGTGCTGGAAAGGAGTGGTGACCTCTGGATGCAGAATCACCCCACAGAGTTCTCAAAGATAAGACAGCTCCCATTAGGACACTTTCTATTCTAGCTTAATGATTAAAGCAATAAGTCACAAGAGCATTTGTTTTGGCAAATTACACAATGATCAAATGGCCTCAACTTTTGAACTGGTTCCTGATACTTAATCTTATCTTTCCTTAGTTTCATCTCATAACTAGTTTATCTATCTTTTTTATCATGCTAAAGAACTAATCCTTTGTACCTTTGCCCATGAAATACTAGCAAGTCATTGGGGTCTGTCTTCATTAGTAAAAGTTGATGGTACAGTTAAGTGCTTAGGATAATAATCCCAGCTGTTATTTACGTAGTAATCTGGAGGCTGTTATTCCTGATAGGTTGATACTATCTCCTGCCAATGAACATTTCCTTGAACCGTCTTTTACTAATAAGGCCACTGCCAGACAGGAATTATGTGATGCTTATAGAGGCTGACCTTCTCAACAGTTAGTGTAATTAAGTTGGCTCTAATTAAGCTTACTCAATTATAACCGTCCACTAGCCCAGGGAAGAAAAGCTCCCATCAATATGAATCAAGCGAATCTGGAGGCATTCAGAGGGCGTGGAGAGGAAGAACTACCTCCATCCCATACATCAGCGTCACAGGGCTCCCTCCACCCAGTCCCTGGCCCCAAGATAGGTGAAGGCTACCTTTACACGTCTTTCCATCCAACTGGAGAGTGAACCCAATGGGACAACTGCAGTGAACACCTGTCGATGTATCTTTACAGGTGCGATCACAGCCTCCGTTGTTGACAGCACACGTTTCTGATGAGGTGGGAAGGGCAGTTAGCTTCCTAAAGAAGTACTGATACAGTTGTTAATATTTGACTAAGTCCCTGAGAGTGCTCATGGTCACACCCCAAAGTCTCTGCCACTTGGAGGTGAGCTAGAGGGAGAGCAGATCATGGTGACAGGGAGATAAAGATGTCTCCCAAGTTGTAGAACCATTTCCCACCCACTAAAGGTTCCTGATGATCCAACATCCTGCTAAGTACAAGCACTCCATCTGGCAGGCTGGACTGAGTGCAGAACAGGGCAGAGGGGGATTCCTTTCTTATTCGAGAACCTTCTTCTTTGAGCCTGTCCCAACTATTTCCTGGCTGCGGATTAATGACTTCCTTCCTGCAAATGCCAGCTTACTCACAAGTTTATCTTTCTCTGAAACTCAAAAGGCCTGTCATAGCTACTGAAAAATAAGCTGCCAATTGTTAAAGTGCAACTGTGGCCTTCCAGTTCTGCATTGGATAAGGTTATTCCAAGTAGTAGGCAACATTCACTCAACTGTCAGCACTTAGACATCCAGAATCTCCCATAACGACCTCATTTGAAAGCCTGAGGGAACAAGCTTAGTATTAATTAAATAGAACAGCTTTTCTGTATGCTTACCTATGCTTCCTCTCAAAACCTGACTAAACAGAGATTAAATCAATTTTTAAATGTATAACTCCTCAAAGACCAAGAAAACGGAAGCAGAGACAACAGGTGAAAGATGTCACATATTCTGGAAGTGGCATGTCAATGGAGTAGTAATGAGTCATCGGAGCTAAGTCCTACCAGACTGCAAGGTGCTGTGGACAGGGATAAAGCTTATTATGAACACTGCATAACCTGGGCATGGTGGCACCTGATTGTAATCCCAGCACCTGGGGGGTGGAAGCAGGAAGATCAGACGTTCAAGGTCATCCTTGGCTGTATAATAAGTTTCAAAGCCTGGGCTGGTGAGATGGCTCAGCGGTTAAGAACACTGATTGTTTTTGCAGAAGACCCAGGTTCGAATCTTAGCACCTACATGGCAGCTAACAACTGTCCTGTCCATAACTCCAGTTGCAGGGGATCTGATGGCCTCTTCTGTCCTCCTAGGGCATTGCATGACATGGGTGCACTTACCTACATGCAGGCAATACACTAATACACATAAAATAAAAACAAATGAAATATTAAAAAAAATAAGTTCAAGGCCCAACCCTGTCTCAGACTGAGAGAGAGGAGAGAGAGAGAGAGAGGAGAGAGAGAGGAAGAAAGGAAGGAAGGAAGGAAGGAAGGAAGGAAGGAAGGAAGGAAGGAAGGAAGGAAGGAAGGAAAAAGAGAAAACAATGGAGCAGTAATGTCAAATCTCTGAGGACAGAATATTCCTTCCCAATCTGAATTCTATACAGAGCCAAATTCTCAATGACGGGTAAAGGCAGAATGCATATAAAGTAATTTTCAGGCAAGCAAGGATTTTGGGAACCTGTGCCTCATGCACAGTATAAAGTGACAGAGGACAAGACATGGGCTCTCCCAAAACAGGAGAGCAGCAAAGGAGGTTCCTAGGACCATGGGAAAGGCCCAGCTGACAGAGCTGCTGGCCAGGAGTCAGGTCCTCTTCAAGCAGTGGGAAGCCTCAGAAGAGACTGTCAGAGAAGAAAACCGAACTGAGAAGTGTCCTGCTGCATTTGAACACACTGAAAAGAGTTTTGGAGCACTCTGCCAGAGAGGCACAGAACTGGTAAGAGGTACTTTGAAAACAACTCTCCTCCTTGCAGTCAAAGAAATCATGGCAGCATACTTCATGACTCAGGTAAATTGCATATAGAAATTAAGTCATAGTAACGTAAACAATACTGACTTAAATTATTATAAACTATATTAAGGGTATGGAAGAGGGTGAATATATGTGTGTATGAGGACCTGAGTTTGGATCCTAACACCAGATAAAAAACAACCCCAGCACTGTGTCGAGGCGGAGTGGGGGGAACAGATGGCTCTCAGTAGCTGACTGGCCAGCCAGTCTAGCCAAACCTAGGTGAGCTCCAGGTTCAGTATGGACCCTGTCTCAAAAAATACAGTGGGAAGCAACAGAGAACGATAACACACACACACACACACACACACACACACACACACACGGAAGGAAAAAGAGAAGAAATAATTTCTAAGGAGTAGAAATGTTCCCTGCTTGGTAACCAACAGTTGTCTAACATCTTACCTGACTAGTATATCCAGAAGCTGTTACAAGGGCAGTTTTATTTAAAACAAGCCAAATTCTCCAGAATAATGTGTCAAAGGATCTGTCTGATCCCCACAGCTCTGCTCCCTCAGCTCCTGCTTGACTGTCCCACTGGCCAACTGTCCCATATCTCCAGCCAAGTGCTACTCTTCCCCATTCATCTCCTCCAGCACTGACACTGGCTGAGTCACAGATGGAAGGTCGGTGGGTCCCAAAACAGACAAACTGCCATGCTAAGCTGGAGGGTGCCCAGAGTGCCTGTCATTACAGCTAATCAGAAAGAAGAGAGTTGGCACTGCATGACCACCCACCCACTGCAACCCACACACGGCACTCTGGGTCCTTCTGCATATCACGATCTTTCAAAAATGTTTTTATGTTAATACATTTATTTATGCATTATGTATGCATATGTATGTGGATGTGTGCGTGCTACAGCGCACATGTGAAGATCAAAGACAACGTTCATTAATCCAGTCTCTCTCTCCACCGTGAAAGTCCCAGGGATCAAACTCAGGTCATCAGGTTTTACGGCAGGCGCCTTTACCCTCTGAGCCATCTCAAAGGCCCCATTTTATCTTGAGTTTCCTGACAACCCTAAAAGTAGATTCTATTACATCCTATTTGTTCATTTATATTTCTTTATTTTTAGACAGGGTCTCCTGTATCCTAGGCTCTAATTTACTATGTAGACAAGAGTGACCTCGAATTCCTGATCCTCCTGTCTGTACCTCTAGAGTGCTAAGATTATAGGTGTACGTTGCCACACCTTGTTTATGAAGTACTAAGGATGAAACCCAGGGCTTTGTATATGCTAAGCAAGCACTCTACTGACTAAGCTACATCCCTAGGCCTTACATCCATTTTAAAGAGAGACCTCAGACAGTGTCAGGGCAGTTTGCCGAGTCTCACAGCTAGTTGGGCAGTGCTAGGACATTAACCTGATTATTCTAATGACTTGGCAGCACTCTTGCCACCGTACCAGGGGTCTTGGATTATGACTAAGGGACACACTGGGACTTGGTCCCTTGTGACTAAGGGACTAAAGAACAAACACACACTGGCTTTGAAGAAGCTGCTCACCCCAGTCCAGTTGGCCTGGGAGCACATGAGCCCCAAGTTCAGGCCAGATGCAAAGAGCTGGAGAGGGGAGGGGGCAATGACAGTGGCCAAGGAGGGGAGAGAAGGCACTTACCCATGAGCAGCCGCCGTTTCACCCGCTTATCTCCATCTGCCACTGATGTGGCGTTTTCTGTCACATCCATAGCAGTGCCCTCTTGCTCTATAAGAAAAGCAAAACCACAATTGGCAGGCTAAATAAGTCGAATTAATCATACCCTGAGTATTTTTTGTTTGTTTTGGTTTTGGTTTGTTTTTTTTTTTTTTTTTTTTTTTTTTTTTTTTTTTTGTGTAGCCTCAAGAGACAGGGTCTCCCTGTAGCCTCAGCTGTTGTGGAACTCACTATGTAAACCAGGCTGGCCTGGAACTCACTGCCTCATCTGCCTGCCTCTGCCTCCCAAGTGCTGGGATTAAAGGCGTGCACCACCACGCCGGGCCCATCCCGAGTATTTTTACTGAAATCCCAGACATGGCATGGCATGTGTAACTGGTGTCAGATGTATGACTGTCCACTCCATAAAAACCAGCCATTATAGGGACCTGTGGGAAACAGCACATTAAATGGCTGAAGATCCTTATAAACAGTCAATATGGAAAGGGGTTTGGACAAGGGCACACTGGCCATAGATACACTAGGGGATGCAGGCTTCAGCCTGACTGCAGTACCCTTGGTTTAGGACAAGAACCTGGAAACTTCTCCGAAAGAGCCAGCAAAGGACATGTCCTGAAGGGCAGGGCAGACATTGGCTGTAAAGGTTGCTGTGTCATCACAAACAGCTAGCTCTAAGTTCTGACAGCCTCATCCTTTGGAGTACTGTCCCAGCCTCTACAGTACAAACAGCCTAGTTCATGGGAAGAGGAAGGGCTTTTCTAAAAGGGAGAGACTCCCACCCCAAAAGTAGATAACTCCCGCTGTGATGTGTGAAGGGGCACAGGACCTACATGTACCAGCAATACCCTGCATCTGGGGCTAAACACTATTAAGGATTAAAGTTAGTGTTCTGGTTTGTTTCTCCATTGCTGTGACAAAACACTCTGACCATTACTGACTTGGGGAGGAAAGGGTTTATTTGTCTTACATCTCCCAGGTCACAGTTCATCAGGGAGTCCAAGGTAGGAACTCAGGGCAGGAACCTGGAGTCAGAAGCTAGAGCACAGGCCATGGAGGAACACTGCTTACCGACTTGCTCCTCTGGCCCCTGCTCAGCCTGCTTTCTTATGCAACACAGGCCCACCTGCCCAGGGGTGGCACCACCCACAGTGGGCTGGGCCCTCCCACATCACTCAACAATCAAGAAGGTGCCCCATGGACATGACCACAGGCCAATCCAATGAAGGCAATTCTCCAGTTGAGGCTCCCTCAACCCAGGTGTGTCAAGTTGACACTAAAGCTATCCAGCACAGTTAGGATAAGGGTTTGGGTGAGGGGTGGACAGGCTGAAGCAGTCCCTCACCCAGAATGGCGGACATCACTCACCAAGGCAGCTCTGCCCATCGGTGTGCAACCTATACTGTGGATGGCAACTACACTCAGGGCCTTCAGCTGTGTCTTCACAGGAGTGCTGACATCCACCATTTCCATGGTTACAAGTCACTGAGATCAAAATGAATCAAAACACAAAGCAATGAGGTTTCCACAACCAGAACTGAGTTTGTTTCCAAAGAATTTTGATTTTTACTCTACAAGTACCTGAGCACCAAAACTGGGCATAAAAAAAAGTGTTCCTCTCAGACCCTGTCCACATCTGTATGTGCAGATAGTCACAATACACATCATAGAAATGCCAAAACAAAAGCTTTGGAAAAGTTATACAGGAAGACAGAGTTGGGAAAGTTGGATGGAGAAGACCTTCCACTATCTGGGGGGAATTATACCAAATGATTCTAGACTATTGTTTTACTCTCTCTGGAGAAGTTTGCATGTAATCCCAACTTTGGCAAACTCTACAGCACTTTGTGTCTGGAATAAGCTGACAATACTGAATTTGTACATATATGTTAGGGTTTCTCTCTGCAGATTCCACCTGGATTCATTACAAGGGGAGTCAATCATAGGAAAAGATAATGCTTTATACACAATGACTACAACATTAATCAATAATTATGAAGACTATGTATGAAGGTACTGATGACAGTCCAAAAAATAAAATTCAAAAGCCAACTATAAAACCACTCATCACACTGTTAACAGAATTCCCTCTGGCAAAGGGAACATGTTTTCACTACATGCTTCTACCTGCTTGAATTTTCACACATGTAATTTTCTTAAAACTTTTTTTGTTGGATTCTATGATAATTCTATTTTTAAATTTTAAAAAAATTATTTATTTAATAACCACATACTTAGAAGAAGCATTTAATTACAACAGCATTGACATACTCAGTAACAATTTCCAGAGCTAAGAGGCATCTCCTTCAAAATTGGCTGTACATTTCTAGGTTTACAGATGAATTATTATGCTTATATAATCTTTTACACATTATAAACTCTATAAGACATAAAATTAAATGAAAGTCCAACGTTTAAAAAAGATCTCCACTTCGTTGTCAAAACACACAGTTTCATACAGAAAAATTCATTCCAAGCCTATTGACATTGAGACGTTTTCACATGCATTTCTAATCTCTATATACATGACTATCACTGGTCACAGTCACCCATCTTCTGAGCTCCTCGGCATCTGAGCATGAATACAAACTC